TCACCATCCCTGCTTGAGAGCAAATCCACGTGCAAAGACAAGTGAATGATGCAGACACAGCACAGACTAAAGGCTGACAGTGAGCTGGGCTCAGGACAAATTCACAGGGGAGGAGGACAGAGGGAAGACCGGGTGGTGGAGGGGCTAAGTCCTGACGTCATGGAGGCTGGAAGGACCTCCCTGCCTCACAGAGGACCTGTGGGCAGTGAATAGGAAAGTAGTGGGCTCAGCACAGAATGGGAGGACAGCTGTGACAAGGGGAGAGTGTCCTTGCAATCATCCTGGTGGAAAATCCTCTAGCCTTCATCAATACCAGAAGCCTTGGCCAGCTGCCAGCCTGCTCTGCTGCTCTGTTGAACCAATAAATACTCCTTGGCAGATCAATTAAGCCATCTAGGAACGACGTCTGGAAATACGGCTTCCTCTGCTAGGCACAGGGGGACAAGCCCTTGCAGCCAGCTAGTCCCAAGACACCCATGCTTCCACTCTGCACCTGGAAGTCAGTCCTGAGCCCACAGTGCAGCCTGGCCATTGTCACCACGGGGCAGATGGAGGCAGGGTGGACCCAGGCAGCAGGAGGCCCCACAGAGGAGTGGTTAATACCTGGGCCTAAGCACTGCTCTCCCACACTGGGTGACTTTGGGCAAGTGTTTTTTCTTCCAAGACTCAGTTTCCTTATCTAGGAGAGGGTGATAAAAGTAACATCGCCTCAAAACCTTATTATTACTAAAATTAAAAGAAAATAAAACCTGAGTGAGACTTGGCCCAGGGCACAGAACGTGGGTGGTAGCCAACAAAAAGTGTAACTATTAATGCTCCCGTGTCAAAGCTGATTGTCTGAGTCTCCTCTGTGTCACTCATATGCCATTTGCCACCCAAGAGCTCTGAGCCGTGAAACAAAGCCCTACTGTCAGCCTGGCCACCAGTATGTGTAAAGAGAGGCCAAGGGCTAATCCCAGAATCCAGCCTGAGCAGGTTCCAAAGACCTGGCCCACCCCAGGGGCCCGAACCTTACAACAGTTGGGACATTTTCAGTGACATTCTCCCATTAGTGATCAAGAGTGCCTGATTTCCAGTCACTGCTGGGCAGTCTTTACACAACTTCGCTTTTTCAGAACACCCTGCAGAGCTCTGTGTTCAGCCAAGAGTTTTGGGAACTGGAGATGAGGCCGTGCGGGGGGGTGGAAACAGAACAGGAATGCCATGGCAGGACCTCACCCAAGCTTGCTGAGCAAGGCCAGTGTTGGCTCTTTGCTGCAGGGCCACCCAACATCGTCTCGGGAACATGCTCTCTCGGACACATCTGCCCATGTCTCCACAAGGTGCCCATTGGGTCATTCGACCTCAGTCTGAACCCAGGCTCCTCAGTCACTAGCTGAGTGACTTAACTCAAGCTCTCTGTGACTCAACTTCTTCAGGGCAAACTGAAAACAGTAATACAGGTATTTTCTCAGAGAGCTGTTACAGGAGTAAGTGGGCTAAGGGTTGTAAAGAGCCTAGAATACAGCCCAGCAGAGGACGCAATACAGAAACATTAGCTGGTGTTCTTAGAGGAGATTTTTAGATCCAGCCCAAATTCCTGGGTTCCACAGGTCTGGCCTGGCCACTCCCGCCAACACACGCAGAGAAAGGTTTGTCATGCAGCAGGGCGCATCGCAGGAAGAGGAAAGGTACAGTGTTGGTGTCATTATTCTTTGGGCTCTGGATAATCTGAGATAATTGTCCCATTTGTCTGGACTTGGGCGCGCCTGTGAGCTCCCTGCGATGACAGAGCCCCTGGGCACCCTGCCGCTCTTGACGGTAAACTCCCAGATGTCAAGCCATTTCACTCCACGGTGCAGCAGAAGAACAGTTTCATTTGCAAAAGGTTCCTTGACATTATGCATTTTGCAAGAGGAAATTGCACCGCCAGGAACTCTTGTCCCCCACACCCGTGCTGCAGCGTTCAGTGCGGTAAGACCTTTCTCCGCCTTGCTTTTACAGTCATAAAAATTCAGAAATGGAAAAAGCGATATCCATTAACTTACTTCCGTCACATTAGAGGAGCAGCCTCTGTGAAGGCTGCTCTTTGCCCTCTTCCCTTCACAAACCCTGACACCTGCCCTGGTTCACCTGGTTCAGCCAAGCAGGGAGCCCTGATTGCTGGTTATCTGCTCTGTGCTGCTGATTTTCATCAACCCATCTTGCAAAGAACACTGAGGTTCTGATGGAAGAGGTCAGAATTACCCAGGGCCACCAGCTGAGGGCTGCCACCAGTCTCCTTCCCCATCTCCCCCTTTCCCCCACCCCCCGACCGCCCTCCGCCCCCCCCCACTGTGATATTTCAGTGAAGCAACCCCAGGGGGCATCCCTGTCCTTCGTGTCCTTTTGGCTCCTAGAATGTCTCTGACTCTGGTCCCCACCCAAGTCAGGTCTGGGTTGGAGGAGCTGTCGCCATGACCACAACCAATGAAGGCTCAGAATTCTTCCCAAACATACATTTCAGTTGTGGGTCACCTTCCCTGTCCAGGGACTCCCTAAGGACAAACTATTCCCAGTCCCCAGGGATCCATAGTGACCACAAGCATCACATAGTCCCTTCCCAATCCCCCACCCACCCCAGAAGTCCACTGCAGCCTGTGCTATGATCCTCAGGGTTGGGCCCAAGCTGAACCTCCCTCTGTGCAACCCCACCTCCAGCCAAGGTGGAGAACATTACTCCTGTCTGGAACACACACACTGGCACCACACCAGACAAGTAAACTCTATCACCAAATGGGAGATGCCACAGGCTGGTATCACGTGACATCCTGGCTATCCCTACCCGCTAGAAGGTTATTCCAGATTCCACCAAGCCAGAGAACCACAGTCAGTGGAGAGGAAGATGAAACACGCTGAGTTTCAGTCTCACTGATCTCCAACTGCATGAAAGACCTGCAAGCTCAAAATGGTCCAAATATGACTGCCTCCCCCAGCCCCAGCCTCTGTGAGCAGTCGGAAGGAGCTGCTCCTGACCCCCAGTCATGAGGGAGCCCCTGGCTGTAGTTTGATTAGCACCTGAGCTTTGAATCTGGAAAATAAACACCAGCCTGGTATGAGTTAACAGCCAGGAGGAAGCTATTTGAGGGCTCTGGTAGCTTCCACCAGGGTGACAATGTCAGGCCCTTCATCCTAGCTACAGTCTAATTGGTGCCAACACACAAGATGTCACCCAAGCTAACAAGGGGGCCGGATATTGTCCCATTTTACAGAGTAAAGTGAGTCTTGTGGACTCATCAAACCAAACCACTGGGCAGTTGGAAGTAAGGCACGTGAAACGGCAGCGCCTTAGTGCACAGAGGCCACCCTTCCGGTTTAGGGATGGATTTTGGCAAGTCAAATTTCCAACTCCACTACGCAAACAGTGCTTGATGCTGCTGTTGGTGTTCTCACTGGGACTTGCCTGGTCACCATGTCTAAGAATATTCCAGACACTTTCCACAAGGCCCCACTGCTGACTAACTCAGCCCTTCTCAGGAGCTACTCATCCTCTTCCAAGATTCAGCCAGCAAATGGAGAAAACGAAGCAGCACTTTGCTGTTCAACATCAATCTTGTTCAACAACCACAAAAATAAATGTGAGCAAAAAATGTCGCCAGTTATACCAGAGAGCTGAGCTCGCCAGCCATTCTTCTGTTGGCCTGTCATCCTTGAAAACCATTAGCCCACTCTTGGCTCAAGCACATATAAATTCGATATGAGCAACACTGTGTCCTTGACTTCTTTTCTGGAGTATTATTCTCAGCCCCCCAACTAAAGAGGGGAGCTCCAGAAAAGGGTTAGTGTCAGAGGCTAACAGGCCTGCTGGACTCTGATTCTGATTCTCTGAAGAGCTGCTCTTCAGAGCTCTTATCTCTCAAAAGAAAAGGGGTCGAGATGATGTGAACATAAGTGGGGGCACTGATGGGGGGCAACCACTGAAAGGAAGGAAGAGCAAGAGGGGAGGGTGAAGGGAGGTGAATATGATCTATGAACACAGAATAATGAAACCCATCAAAATTGTAAAAAGTGGGGAGGAGGATAAGAAAGAGTAGAGTAACGGGGGGGGGTGAATTTGATATGACATAAAGACGCATCATGGTGAAACTCTTCGTGTAATTAATGTACACTGGCGATTTCATCTCTCACTGAGAGAGAATACACTGGAAGGCTGTAAGCACTCACCCTCTGTATTTCAGCAGGGATGTGGGAGGATGTCTATGGACAGACGCTGGTTGGGCTGGTGTGTGGGAGTGACTGACTCCCTGCCCCGAACAGCTGGGATTCAACTCAGGCCATGAGGCCACATGTGCCTCTGCTGGAGGCCTCTCTGCCTTCCCAAGCGACTCCCCTCTAAAACCAGTAACTACTTTGTCACTATGATTTTTCAATTGCCTCACAAGATGGTTGTACATATGTAATGAGAGCAGGCCTTAGAGTGGCAGGGGTCAAATCCGGCCTGTGGGCTTGTCTGCAGCTTGCACAGAGAGTTTTGTTGGCACCGTCACACGATGGAGATCTCTGAGTTCTCCTGGCAAAGTCCAAAGACACCCCAGCCCAGGGTCCCATTCCTGTGAGGCTACTGTCCACTGGAGAAGAGAGGCAGCTGTCCAGCGGACAGCTCAGGAAGAGCTGGAATTTGAGTGTTCAACCCCTTCACACAGTAGGTGGTCAGGAAGTGACTGTGACTTGCATGGACAGCCTAACAGATTTGTGACACTCACTCACTGTGAGGTGCCACTCACAGTCTTAAGCATGTGTTTTATCTTATTTGATACTAATGACAGCCCTGGGTTAGATCACTGTCACTACCTTTTGCAGATGGGAAAACCAAGTCACGCCCCAGGCCTGCAAAGAAGTCAGGATTCAAACCCATGTCCTGACCCCCTACTCTGTGCTGCAGGATCGTCCCCCTTGCTGCTGACCTGCCCTGTTTCAGTCCCCTCCCGACTCCCCTAGACAGGCAGCCCCAAACCCCCCACCCTCCAGGCAAGCACACTTACGGTCAAGGCCATTGATGTAGCGCATGGTGACTTCGCAGTGGCCCCACACGGCACTCACCACCGGGTACAGCTTTTTGCCCTTGAGGCCACGGAAGGCCACCCCCAGATACTGGCCATCCACGACGAAGCTGAGCGTGCCCTCGTCCATATCCAGCACAACTAGCAGAGAGTCCGGCAGGGCAAAGGCCTCATCGGGTGCCAGGAAGGCCGGATAGGCCACGCTGGGCCGGTTCTTGCCATCGTGGTAGAGGCGGCTACGACCCAGGTCCCAGCCCCACGACTCAGCATCACTGCCCACGAGTGCAGTGTAGCCCACGGAGTGCAGTGGGGCCCGAGCCGTGGCAACACCCACCACCGCGTGGGTGCCCCTCTGCCGAGCCGGCCAGTGGATCTGCCACGCGTGCAAGCCACGGGCATGGCCCACCTTGCCACGGATACCATCGGTGCTCTGGGCCACCGGGTGCCGGTGGAAGGTGAGCCGATCGTCATCCTTGACAAAGACATTGAGCGAGCGGTCCTCGGGATTCCACGCGTGCCGCAGCTGCACAGTCAGCCCCGCGGCTGGCATGTCCAATAGCTGGTCCAGCCGGGCTGGCCGCCCCAGCTCTGCACCCCGGAGCTCCCGCTTGGCTGGCCGTAGGGCTGGCTCTCGCACCTCCACGGACTTGAGGCTCCCCGACAGCTTCTGGCCCATGGTTCACTGTGGGGAGGGGGCCGCTGCAGGCCACTGCTACCTCGTGGGAGCCGCCACTCCCCGTAGCCAGGGATGGACCACGGGGTTGGGCACCAGGCTTTGGGACTGACGACCTCCACAGCCTCTACTGGGCTGGAGGGGGGGCCCAAGATCCTGGAAGGAAGCAAAGAACATGGGTTTGTAACAGCAGTCTCAAAGGTCACATACCGACATCACCTTAAGTGAGGTTAGCCAGGGGCAGAGGCCAGAAGCCACACGTTCTCTCTTACGTGGAGTACAGACCTAATACAAATACAGCTACATTATGACAAACAGGTCACACTGAGGGGAGGTCACATGCAGGAGGGGGAGGGTAAAAGAAGGAAGTTAAGAAGGTGAATATGGTTGATGTACTCTCTACAAGAATGAATACAGAATTTTTAAACCTGTTGAAATCACCATAAAAAGGAGACCAAGGTAGAAAGAAGAAAAATAGAGGAGATGAGCCAATTCAGGTTATGATACATATCTACATGGAAATTCCACAGGGCAACCTCCTGTGTAGCTATCTTAAACAAAATCAGAAAACAGGAGGATGAAACAGGTCCTGCCTAGCGGGTTGGTACAGGGCGAGGGGGATGGGAGAGTGAACGTGGTGCAAATACGGTGTACACATGTATAAACAGGGAAAAATGGTGTCTGTTGAAACTATTCTAGGAATGGGGGAAGGGAGGAATAAAGAAGAATGATGGAGGGCACATTCAACTGTCACATATTTGATATATTGTGAGAACTTTTGTAAATGCCACAATGTATCCCCACCCAGGACAACAATAAAAAAAAAAAGTCAGTTACCCATTCCTTCATTTATGCCCAAGCCTTGGCTGACCATAGCAACAATAATAACGAATATCTTCATATCTGCTACTTATCTAACACCTGACATATGCCAGACTCACTTAATCTTAAGACCTCCCTATAATACATATGCTATTATTTCCATCTCACAGAGCAGTGACACAAGTAACTAAACAGAGTCCCACAGCTAATAAGTGATGGCGCCAATATTCAAACCAAGGTGATCTGGTGCCAGAGCCTGTGCTCTGCAAATCACAGGTAACCATTTTAGAAATAACGACCAAACCCAGAGAAACTGTGGCTCGCTGAGACATGAGGCCCTGGCTGCTTTGAGGAGCTTATCCAAAGCTGGGCACCGGTTGCTCACTTCTATAATCCTAACCACTCAGGAGGCAGAGATCAGGAGGATCGTGGTTCAAAGCCAACCCAGGCAAATAGTTCACAAGACCCTATCTCAAAAACAAAACAAAAACCCTTTCACAAAAAGGACTGGTAGAGTGGCTCAAGGTGTAGGCCCTGAGTTCAAATCCAGTACTGCAAAAAAAAAAAATCCTAAAATATAGCCAGGCTTGAGGAGCAAGATAAACATCAAGGATCCAGCAAGATCACCCAGGGACAAGGACATAAGGCAACCATCTGAAGATCGGGTGCTGTCTCTGTGAGAAAACAAATGAGGGTGAAGGAGAAGGGAGCTGATGTTCAACCTCTGGAACAAGACAGAATTCCATCTGAATCCCTCTGTTTTGACCTCTGTGACTCTAAACTTCCCTAAGACTCTAGTATTCTCATCTGTAAAATAGGAATAAACACCTCACTCCAGGTAGTGTGCCTGAATGACAACATGATAAAGGGCCAGACCTGGGACCCCGCACGCAGGTTTTTCTCTCTGGCTCTGTTCTCTGGGCATCCTGCATGGACCCTTTCCCTTGGATGCACCAGTACTTTATTTGGGTGTATAAACATGACTAACAGCATTTACCCTGGTTAGCACCCCCTGATGCAGGATTCTGGTTTTCAAGGAGGAAGGACTTTCCATTAGAGGGCCAGCCAGAACCCAAGATGCCTGGGATGGGAAGAGGAAAGCTGGGCCTTGCAGGCTCCTCCTGAGGGCAGGTGGCTTCCCCTCCATGGCCCAAGAGGTGCTGTGCTCAGAACAACTTCCCCAAGACAGACAAAGACACAGAGGATGTTTTTCATGCCCTGTTCTATCTGTCCAAGATTTTTTCTATCTGTGATCCTTGATCTTGATTGGCAACCTGATTGGATTGAGGAGCACCTAGGAAATTAGTAAAGCTCACCTCTGGGTTGTCTTCCAGGGCATTTCTAGAAGGGACTAACTAAGGGTGGAAGATCCATCCAAAATGTGGACTGGACAATCCCATAGGCTGGGAGACCAGATGGATGGAATGTGTGTATGTGGGGGGGAGAACAGGAAAGAGAAAGCCAGCTAACTTAGGCATTCTCTCTTCTCTTTCTCTCTCTCTCTCTTTCTCTGCTTCCTGGCCACCATGATGTGAGCTGCTCTGCTCTGCCACACCCTCGCTGTGTGATGAACTGCAACCTCTAAAACCACCATGAGCCAAAATAAATCCTTCCTCCCCTAAGTTGTTTTCTCAGACATTTTGTCACAGTGAGGAAAGTCTGACTAATATAGAAAATTGACACTGGGAGTAGGAGAGTGGGTCTGTTGCTGTACTATTCCTGACCAAGTGGTTCTGAAGCCTGAGGAACTGGTTTGTATGAGGAATTTGGAGAAGTGGGCTAGAAAAAGCCTTGTGTGCTGTAAGCAGAACATTCTGGGTGATTCTGGTGGGAGCTCAGAAGACCAGAATGCTGACAGAAGTGTAGGTAGCAAAGGCTGTGCTCATGAAGGACTCTACTGGGAAATGAACCAGAAGCCATTTATGTTAATTTTGGCAAAGAACTTGTGTGAATTTTTGCCCAGGCCCTGGGACTTTGCAAGCGGCTGAGTTTAAAGATGACAGAGGAGGTCTCAAAGCAGCCCAGCACTCAGGCTGTGGCAATGGGTCTGGGTTTTGTTAGCTCCTTTTAGTCAGATTTACAATGAGAATTGGGAGCAAAAAGCAGAGTAGAAAAGTTTGAAAAACTTGCAGAAAAGAGGTGTGTCAAGTTGGGACCAGGAAAGTGTGGTTGTTGAAGAGATGAGGGCCATTAAAAGAAGCCAGGTACCTTGTATCAGGACAGTAAGAAAGATGCCTTGAGGACATCTCAGGAATTGGCTGGACCCTGCCCACCTCAGGCTCCAGTGTAAAGGTTTTAACTCTTTTCAAAGACTTTGCTTTGAGAAGAGAGTTCCAGGGTGCTCTGCTTGTGCAGGGGACATAGGGATGTGTTTCCCTTATGGTTAGCAATCCAGACATTCTGAGGCCACTGCAGCTATAGTCCAAGTGAGCCTGGCTATCACTCAAGCTTGCAGCTTGATTTTGTAAGCTTGCAGAATGCAGGGTCATGGAGGCTTCCACCTAGACTTCAAAGGAAAGACTGGAATGCCATAGATGTGTGACAGGTTTGGACTCCCTGAAGGCAACACTGCGAGAGTAAGGCCACAGATGCAATGGAGATCCCAGCAAGTTAGACATGCAGGTATGTGGGACATCTGCTGAGGAAACCATAGCCAGCCCAAAAGACAGTCCCCATGGCTACAAATGACAAAGTCATTGGGGTGAGGCTGCCCAAGCCTTTGGAGCTCAAATAGTGATAGCATGTGTCCCAGAGGCTGGACATGGAGTTATGGGATTTAATGCTTGCTCTGTTGGGTTTTGGTCTTGCTTTGGTCCCATTCCCCCTTTCTATGCCTTCAACCCTCCCATTGGAATGGGGATGTTTCACTCTGTCCTGTTGCATCTTGGGAGTACGTAACTTGTTTTTGTGTTACAGGGGCTCATAGCTAAGAGTTTGCCTTGAGTCTCAGCAGAGTCTTTGGACTTGAACCTTTAAACAATGTTGGAACTATGGAGAGTTTGAGAACTCTTGGAGGTGAACAAAATGCATTTTGCCTTATGAGATGGACATGAATCTTTTGGGAACCAGGGATGAAGTGCTATGTATACGTGTGTGTGTGTGTGTGTGTGAGTGTATATATATATACACACGTGTATATATGTGTAAATATATGTGTGTGTATATATGTGTAAATATATGTGTGTGTATATATATATGTGGAGATGTGTTTTGGTATCAGGTTGATGGGGGTGGTGATGGTTAATCTTTTTTTTTTCAGTTTTAGCATATGTTCATTGTACAGGAGGAATTCATTGTGCCAATTCCCATTAACCTTACATTGTACATTGGTCAGATTGCCCCATCACCTCCCCTCCACAACCCCTGCCCCACCCCACTTAAAGCAATTGCAAAGGGTTTCCTCATTCTATTTTGTATATGCGTATGAAGCCCGTCAACCATGTTCCCTCACCCTCATCTCCTCTATTCACCATCTCACAAGTACCCTCAACACACACACTGTACCTATTTTACAGTCCTGTCTTTCATTTTTAATTCCAAAGTCAATTTCTCAATGTATTCCAGCTGTGAATGTACTTTGTGGTGGTTAATCTTGATTGTCAACTTGATTGAACTGAGAAGTGCCTAGGAGATCAGTAGAGTGCGCCTCTGGGTTGTGTCTATGCAGGTGTTTCTACAGGATTAACTAAAGGGGGAAGACCCACTCTGAATGATTTCCACACCATTCCTTAGCCTGGGTGCCTGGATGGTATAAAAGCGAAGAAGAAAGAAAGCCCATTAGACCAGGCATTCTCTCTCTCTGCTTCCTGGCCACCATGATGTGAGCTGCTCTGTCTACCACATCCTTCCTGCCACGATGAACTGAAACTTCTTAAAGCATGAACCAAAATAAATCCTTTTCTTAGTCATTTTATCATAGCAACTGACTAATTCACCATCCCGAAAGTGGCGCACCTCAGTCAAAGTCCAGGTGGGGAAGGAAAGAACTCTGCCAGCACGCAGAGAGGACAGGGATGGTGTGGGTTTCTTTGGTAACCTCAAATTTTATGCTCAACTCCTATTCTTGCTGTTGTCAGACTTCAGCATCACCTGTGAACCCTATTCAGAATGCTGACATTCCATCTGAGAGAATACTAGAACACATCAAAATTCGCAACACTAGACAGCTTTAAGATGGCAGAATAAAGTTTCCTATTTTCATATCTGAAATCACTCACAATCAAGGAGAAAGAGAAACGGAAATACAAATTTCCTCTTCAGCAAACCTAGAACACTCTTGTGACCCAAACCACAGCTTATAAGGAAAGGCTACTGAAAACACTCCAAGGCAGAAG